AAAAAGTCGATATCAAACCATTTATTATTCAAGGTATTCAATCCGACGTTATCACTACCGATTTAGTCACCGAGCGTTTATCAGATCGTCAGGCGCGAATTTTATCATTAGCTGAGCTAAAAGATAAAATGGAAAATACTGACGGTGTTATCTTTAAACAATTTAACTCCATCACTGATTACCATTCGATGATGTTTGATTTTGGTGTCTTACCAAAACGTTTACGTTCATCATCGGATCGTAGCAAATATTACCGCTTGATTGAAGCCTCGCTTTATGGTGGGATTTCCAGTGCGATCACTCGTTCACTACGTGATTATCTACTGCCTGAAAATGGTGGCGTGCGTAAAGCCTTCCAAGATATGGAAGCCGCACTACGTGAAAACCGTATGACGCTAGAAGCCATTCGCGTTACTCAATCAGATCGTGATCTATTCAAACATTTAATTACTGAATCAACTAATTATGTTGCTTCTGACTATATGCGCCATGCCAATGAGCGGCGTATTCATATCGAATCGGTGCTTGGTTTACGGCGTGATCTGTTTAATACCAAAGCGCAATTACTTGATAGCCAATATCGCCAAGTTGAAATGGCTAAACAGCTACAAGAAAACCAAGAGGCACAATCATCATTAGATCAGGATCACCAAGCGGCGAATGATCATCTTAATTTAGTGCAAACTGCGTTTCGTCAACAAGAAAAGATTAACCACTATCAAATCGATCTTGATGAATTAAATGAAAAACTGCTTGAACAGACCGAAGTGTCGACCATGCTAACGAACAGCATTTAACCTATCAAGAACAAGCTGAAGCGACAGAGCAAGAAGTTGACGAAATCAAAACGCAATTAGCCGATTATCAACAAGCGTTAGATGTACAACAAACGCGGGCAATTCAATATCAACAAGCATTACAAGCATTAGAAAATGCCAAGAAAATCTGCCAACTGCCAAATTTATCTATTACTGATATTGAACAGCAACAAGCTATTTTTGCTGAACAAGAAGCGGAAATTACCGAAACCGTATTACAGCTAGAACAACGAGTAAGCGTTGCTGGTGCCGCGGTGAATCAATTTGAACGAGCTTATCAACTGGTGGTTAAATTAGTTGGCGAAGTAACCCGCAGTGAGGCTTGGCAAGCAGCTCGTGATGCGTTAAAAGATTGGCCGTCGCAAAGTCACCAAGCACAATTAGCTGAAAACTTACAACTACAGCTAGATGAACTTGAACAGCGTTTCTTTGAACAAAAAGATGCCCAAGAATTATTAGCACAATTTTGTAAGCGGGTTGGACGTAAAGTCGATTATGACGATCTGGATCAATTAAAAGAGACATTGGAAGAGACATTAGACGAAAATGTACTTAAAGCCAATGAATCGAGTGAAAAACGTATCGAAGTTCGCCAAGAGTTAGAACAGATCCAATTAAAAATCGCTGATTATCAACGCAAAGCGCCAACTTGGCTAAAAGCACAAGATGGACTGATCGAGTTAAGAGAACAAGTTGATGTCGCGCTTAGTTCCAGTCAAGAAGTCACTGGGCAGATGCAAAAATTGTTGGAACAAGAACGACAATTTATTGTGGAGCGCGATCGGATTGTTGCCAGACGTGATCAGCTCGATGCGTTAATTACTCAACTTAACCAACCCAATGGTGCTGATGATAGCCGTTTAAGTGGTTTAGCAGAGCGCTTTAATGGGGTATTACTATCTGAAATTTATGAAGATGTTACCATTGATGATGCGCCTTACTTCTCGGCATTATATGGTCCATCGCGCCAAGGGATTGTGGTACCTGATTTATCAAAAGTCAAAGAACAACTGGATCAGCTGGATGATTGCCCGGATGATCTTTACTTTATTGAAGGTGACCCAAGCTCGTTTGATGATAGCGTTTTTGCTAGTGAAGAGCTAAATAATGCAGTATTGGTTAAAACCGGTGATCGCCAATGGCGTTATTCGCGTTTTCCACAAGTGCCGTTGTTTGGTCGTGCTGCCCGTGAAAAGCATTTAGACAAACTAATTAATGAACGTGATGAACTGCACGAACGTTATGCTAACTTATCATTTGATTTGCAAAAAATTCAGCGCGTTGAACAAAATTTTAGCCAATTTATTGGTCAATATTTAGGTGTGGCGTTTGATATCGATCCCGAAGCGGAAATTCAACGTTTAACCGCACGTCGTAACGATATTGAGCGCGCACTCAATAATCAACAAACGCAGGATCGACAAAATCAACAGCAAGTTGCTGATATTAAAGAGCAACTTAATCTAGTTAATCGTTTATTAGCGCAAATGCATTTATTGGCGGATGATGATTTAGCCGATCGGGTTGATGATGTGCGTGAACAGTTGGCGGAAGCGCAAGAAGCGGTAATTTATGTTAATAAAAACCGTAGCGTGGTGACTGAATTAGAGCCAATGGTTAATGTATTACAAAGCGATCCAACTCAAAACCAGAATCTACAGCAACAATATGAGCAAATTAAAACTAAACAACGAACCATTAAACAACAGTTGTTTGCCTTGACGGAAGTCGCGCAACGCCGCGCTCACTTTAGCTATACTGATTCGGCGGGTATGTTGACCGAAAATTCCGATCTTAACGAACAATTACGTACTCGTTTAGAAACCGTTGAAAAAGATCGTGTTAATGCACGTACTAAAATGCGTCAATATCAGGAATTGTATAACCAATATAATCAAACCTTAGCGTCGCTAAAAAGTGCTTTTGAAACCAAACGCGATATGCTTAATGACTTAAAGAAAGAGATTGAGCAAATTGGTGTAAGGGCAGATGCGGTGACCGAAGAGCGTGCGCGTCTGCGTCGTGACGAGATCCATCAAAAAGTAAATCAAAATCGACAAATGTGTTCTTCACTGGAAAAACAATTAGTGATGAGCGAAAGCGAAATGACTCAATTACAGAAGAAATTGCGTCAGGTCGAAAAAGATTATGCCCAGCTACGCGAACAAGTGGTACAAGCTAAAGCGGGTTGGTGTATTGTGTTACGCTTAGTTAAAGATAATAGTGTTGAACGCCGTTTACATCGTCGTGAGCTGGCTTACTTAAGTGGTGATGAATTACGTTCGATGTCGGATAAAGCATTAGGTTCACTACGTCAAGCCGTTGCGGATAACGAACATCTACGCGATGTGCTACGTTTATCGGAAGATCCAAAACGACCAGAGCGTAAAATCCAATTCTATATTGCTGTTTATCAACATTTGCGTGAACGTATTCGTCAGGATATTGTCAAAACCGATGATCCAATCGAAGCGATTGAACAGATGGAAATTGAATTGTCTCGCTTAACCGAAGAGTTAACCTCGCGTGAGCAACAGTTAGCCATCAGTTCGAAGAGTGTGGCTAATATTATTCGTAAAACCATCCAACGTGAACAAAATCGTATTCGCATGCTAAACCAAGGTTTACAAGCGGTAGCGTTTGGTCAAGTTAATGGTGTGCGTTTAAATGTAACTATTCGCGAAGCCCATTCAACGTTATTGAATGTGTTGTCAGAACAGCAAGATGAACATCAAGATCTATTTACCAACAATCGTATCACCTTCTCGGAAGCGTTGGCAAAACTGTATCAACGACTCAATCCACAAATCGATATGGGGCAACGTACAGCCCAAAATATTGGTGAAGAGTTACTTGATTACCGTAACTATCTAGAATTAGATGTGGAAGTTAACCGTGGCGCCGATGGTTGGTTACGTGCTGAAAGTGGCGCCTTATCAACCGGTGAAGCGATCGGTACTGGTATGTCGATTTTACTGATGGTGATTCAAAGTTGGGAAGAGGAATCCAAACGCCTACGCAATAAAGATATCTTACCATGTCGTTTATTGTTCTTGGATGAAGCGGCGCGTCTGGATGCTAAATCGATTGCTACCTTGTTTGAGCTATGTGAAAAACTGGCGATGCAATTAATTATCGCAGCCCCAGAAAACATCAGTCCAGAAAAAGGCACCACCTATAAACTAGTGCGAAAAGTAATTAACAACCACGAACATGTCCATGTAGTGGGATTAAGAGGATTTGCATAATATTAAAGTTAATTATAACTGATTTTGATTTATTTTTAAATAAATTATATCGACTTAATTGAGTAAAAAAGCCGCAGAATTTTGAAATCCGCGCTTTTTTATTAACCATATAAATTAAAAAAGCAAAAGCTAGCTTTAAGCGACTTTTTCTAAACAACGATTTTTTATAAGCTGGAATTCCGGATTGATGATCGTGGTTATCTAGTGCCAGTAAATTGTTTGACTCAGGAAAGTAAGTCGCCAAACTACGATCGGCAATATCATGGATCACAATGGTTAAATCATCTAAGCGGCGATAAGTCGGTTGATGCTCGCTATCTAATGCGATCAAATTAACTTTATCACCCGCTTTTACACCTTGTTTTTCTGCTTCATCTTTACTGATAAATACCACATCACGGCGACCAAATACGCCACGGTAGCGATCATTCATACCATAAATCGTCGTATTGTATTGATCATGGCTACGTACTGTGGTTAAGGTTAATTCTGGATTAATTGCGGCACGTGGATTTTCAATTAATGAATCCGTCACCGTAAAATTCGCTTTACCTGATTTGGTATTCCAACGCCTTTCGGCCGCAGAGTTGACCAAATGGAAACCACCGGGTTGTTTAATATTTTCGTTATAATTGACAAAATCAGGAAATACCGCTTCAATCGCATCACGAATTTTAGCGTAATCATCGACAAATTCATCCCATTCAACTTTAGTATTGGGTAACGTGGCTTTTGCTAATCCGGCAACAATCGCACATTCGGATTTTAAATGTTCTGATGCGGGTTTTAATTTACCTTTTGATGCATGTACCATCGACATTGAATCCTCAACCGTGACACATTGTTCACCTGATTTTTGGATATCAATTTCAGTACGACCTAATACTGGTAAAATATAAGTATGTTTAGCCGTTAGTAAATGTGAACGATTAAGTTTAGTTGCAGCATGTACGGCTAAATCAAGATTTTTCATTCCCGCAAAAGTCGCATCATGATCAGGCATTGCAACCGCTAAGTTACCACCCATACAAATTAACGCTTTTGCACTGCCAGCATAAAGTGCTTGCATAGTTTCAACGGCGGCATGGCCAAACTCGCGTGGTGGTTTAAAGCCAAAACGTTTTTCAATATTATCAAGCAATGCTTGGTTTGGTTTTTCATTAATGCCAACAGTGCGATCGCCTTGTACATTAGAATGACCACGTAATGGACAAATTCCTGCCCCTAGTTTGCCGATATTACCTTTTAGTAACAATAAATTGATAATTTGCTCAATGTTTTGCGTACCATGTTGATGTTGAGTGATCCCCATGCCATAACAGATGATGGTACGCTCAGATTTAATATATAACTCGGCAAGTTGCTCTATTTGCTGGCGAGTTAAGCCCGACATTTCAATAATCTCATCCCAATTGATATTTAAAATATCGGCGTGCAACTGATCAAATCCAGCCGTATGTTCGGTAATAAATTCGATATCTAAAATCGGATCTTGCTCTGCCGCGATTGCTTCATCATGTCGTTGCAATACAATATTCATTAAGCCTTTTAGTAAGGCAATATCGCCACCAATACGCACTTGATAGTAATGTGAAGCGAGCGGGGTAGAACTTAAGGTTAGCATTTCAGCTGGCGCTTGTGGATAGGTAAAGCGCTCTAGTCCACGTTCTTTTAATGGATTGACAGCTACAATAGTTGCACCGCGTTTTGATACTTCGCGCAGTGTGGCTAACATTCTTGGATGGTTGGTACCGGGATTATGACCAATACACATAACTAAATCAGCATGATCAAAATCTTCTAATTGCACAGTGCCTTTACCAATGCCAATTGAAGCGGCTAAGCCAACACTGGTTGGTTCGTGGCACATATTGGAACAATCAGGAAAGTTATTGGTGCCGTATTCGCGAGCGAACAGTTGATATAAAAATGCCGCTTCATTGGAAGTACGACCCGACGTATAAAATTCGACACTATTTGGATCATCATAGCCAGCCAGTAGTTGACCGATTTCGTAAAAAGCGTTGTACCATGAGATCTCTTTGTAGGTATCAGATCGTTTATCGTACTTCATTGGGTTAGTTAATCGGCCTTGGTTTTCTAGATCATAATCATCCCAAGACAGCAGTTCGCGAACGGTGTGGCTAGCAAAAAATTTAGGTGTAGTGCGTTTGGATGTGGCTTCCCATGATACGGCTTTGGCGCCGTTTTCGCACATTTCGAGTGGGGCTGAATGTTTAGGATCAGGCCACGCACAACCCGGACAATCAAACCCGGTTGGTTTATTCATGCTAAACATGGCAATAATATCACCACCAATATTTTTTTGTCCGCCAACGGCTTGGGTTACGGCTTTTAATGCTCCCCAACCACCAGCAGGTCCTTTATATTCTTTAATTTTTTGTTTCACGGATTTGCACCTTTTTATTTATTGTAACCATTTGATTTGTTTTAATAAAAATATTTGATATTTGTTTGTTTATATATAACATAAAATAAATGTAATGAGTTTAAGCAAACAGTAAAATTGCTTTAAAGGTGTGTTAACTTGGTGTTAAATGCTTTATTGGCAATTAATCGATAGCAACGTACAATAGCGCTGGTAATTATCATTTGGCTAAATATTAATTGAGTAATATGAAAAAATATCTGCTATGGCTGCTACTTTGCTTTACGCCACAACTTTATGCGCATCCCCATAGTTTTGTGGAGATGAAAACTCAATTTATTGCCGATGAAGTAGCGATCACGGGATTACAAATGACATGGACATTTGATGTGATCACCTCGGCCGATGTGTTATATGATTTATTAAATGGTGATGATTCGGCGCAAAATTGGCATCAACATGCCAGCGATATGATGGATAATATTATCGCAAATGATTATTTTACTCGTTTTTATCGTTACGATAGCACAACAAAATCAGCACTAATTTCATTTAGTTCACCACCGATTAATTACAGTTTAAGTCATCAGGATTTACAGGCGATTTTAACCTTTAGTATTGCCTTTGAATCACCACAGCCACTAAGCCAAGTCGATTATAAATTATTTACTTTTGAGCCAACTTTTTATGTCGATATGTATTATGACAATATCAGTGATATTGAGTTAGCACCAACCATGCAACCAAGTTGTAAATTGGCTTTGCAGACACCAGAGCCAAGCGAAGAGCTACAAAATTATGCGTTATCATTGGATCGCGATGATGCGCCAGAACCGAATATGGATTTGGGGATGTCATTTGCGCAGCAGGTTAATTTAGTATGTCGTTAAAATTAACCCGCTATTTATTGGCATTTGTTATATTGCTATTACTGCTATTTGTTGGCTATGAATTATATCAAAATTGGTCAAAAATTATCTTACAATCAACGCTGTGGCAACGTGATTTACATCGTTCACTAAGCGATTCATTGCGACAAATCAAACAACACCCATTGCAAGCGGGTTTATCGTTACTTACAGTGAGTTTTATTTATGGTCTACTGCATGCGGCAGGGCCGGGGCATGGTAAAGTGGTGATCACGACTTATATCGCAACGCATCGTCAACAACTACGCAAGAGTTTATTGTTAACCTTACTCGCGGCATTATTACAGGCTTTGGTAGCGGGTAGTGCTGGTTTCGATATGCTTGGACTACTTAAGCTATCACAAATATTTAACATTTAATGCCACTTGGTTTGAAAAGATTCAGCTTTTACTGATTACTTGGTTGTGATGATGATATTACCGTGCGATAAAAAATATACAAATGGTTGTACGATAACCAAAACCAAGTCTTTAAGATTAAACAAATCAGTGTGAAGCTATCAGCCGCAAAAGCAGGGTTAAGGCATAACAACTAAGATAATCAGCATCCAACCCGATCAATTCGTTGTGGTCAGTCTCCGAACATCTTTTATCACAATACATTGCAGCACCGTTGGTCTATTGTTACTTGTGGTGCTATCGATTGGGTCTTTATACGATAAAATCTCTCGTTATGTAAATACGTAATAGGTCGCTTTATTATCATATTTATCTTGTCTGTATTGTGAAAGTCTATTAAATGATCTACTATCCAGTTATGCGCGGGTGTATTTGTTCCTGAAGCCTTAGTCAACGAGCATTGTTACTCTCCCTATAAAGACATCAGAGGCAACTTAATCTGCGTCACACACTGCTCAATTCATACTCTCATACTATTTAGTACTCCTGGCTATTCTCTGCGGTCGTTACTTTGTCATCATATTTCTCCTCCCTGTGTCGCTCTCTTTCCATGCCTAACTCTTTCTATTACTCTTTCTTATGCTTGCTATGTTTCCCGTTCCCTCCATAAGCTTCCCCCTTCAAGTAAGAGGTAAAAATATTCCTGAGGTTGGCATGCCTGTCGTAAAAGGCGACTAAAATCCCGGTACCACACCGACACTTATGCTGGGAATATGCGTGGTAGTAAGTGACGCGGCACTTGCGACACTCGACCGAAGGTGTAAATCCGGTACTATGAGGGTCAATGGCCCGCAACTTCGGCTGACCTTACCAGTTGAGGTTGGAGTCGTAGTGGCTGTGGTTAATACCCAAACTTACGCAGGAAGAATGTTCAGTTAAATGGTTGCATTTAGGTACACTAGGTGCTACAGCCCAAATTGTAGCAGAAGTTTAAGATTTGTCTCGCATCCTACCAAAATGCAAGTTATGTCTTGCATGCATCTCTTCATTGATAACCGGCAGAATTACTAAGGAGATTCCAATGGGGCGTTCATGGGCGCAATGTAACAATGTATGTGTGAAGAACATCGTGATGTTAAGCCTACCTTGCAGGAAACCATGTTAATAATACAGAGATGTCCCTCTATAAGCTAACTTTGCTTTGTTTCTCTCTCTCTCTCCTTCTTTATTGAACTTATTTTAAAGACTAAAATTTTTAGTGTCCACGTGACGATTAAAAATATGAATGGTTTCTTTATTAAATTCTTTAAAGGTGGTTGTAGATAGCTTAAGCTACACACTATAGATTTCAATATTTTTCTCCTATTATAAAAGTAGTGATTTATGCCATGCGATAAGATGATCCAAGACATATATTACAGCCATTTTATAGTAATTTAAGTCTTTTAAAACCTTTATGTGACAATGTTTAGTAATAAAAATAAAATTTCGCTTTCATATGAAGTTGATAATTAATCTTATCAATTTCGTACTGGTCAATACTTTTTCCATTATCTTAGACCAAAATGAACTAATGCTTAATCATTATCACATTTCTTACTCATTTAGCCTTTTAGCATGTTTTTTGACAGAACACCCAACGTACTATCCAACATATTTAAATTGGTATGCATATCTCATATTTGAAAGATAGTTACTGTTGACATAGATCAAAATTTTTATATTTAGAGGATGTCATGCATTTATAGAATACAGTTAATTATAACAGTTTAAACTTAGTTGAAATATTTTAATTATTTAATAAATAGTCTGTCAAAAAAATTATATGCTAATTTAATTAAATTATAAATGATTATAAAAAACGATTAAATGTCCAAATAGTTGCGTCATTAGTATATATATTATCGACACACAAGTATATAAACAAATATACAATGGTTGTTTACCAGGAAATGAAATTATTCGGTAAAACAAAAATCAATAATTAAATTTTATTGTAGAATTTAATTATTACAATTCAGAAAATTCAGAAAAGAAAATGCATAGATATTAACTAAACAGTGGGATGAATTTAATTTTAACCTAGACAAATTAATAGATAAAAACATATTTCAATCTCCCGTTAATATAAAAATACTAATTATTATTATCAAGAAATACAAAGTTTAATTAAACTAATTAAATTAATTAAACTAATTATAAAAAATTAAAAAAAAAATTTTATTTGCTTGTGTTCTCATTCAATTCATTCAATATATCACATAAAGCCACTACTCTTGCACTTCGTAGTACATTCCATTCGAAATACATTCACTTACTTGACGTTTTAAAATTATATATTAAATATATCTCAGTGCTTGTAAGGGTCAACAGAACATTAGGTCGAAAACCTAATAGCAACTATTTGGAATTATAGCAGACATTATGGTTTGTATTGTGTTTCTATCTTTCCATCCTTACGTGCAGTCAAAGCAATTCATTTTTTCTGTAAAGATTAACGCGGTTCCGTAAATGTGTGTAGCGCTTTAGAGAACTCTCTTTTAATATTAATAATATTTATAACTATATAAAAATTTTATAACAGTTTCTGCGCGATATATTAGTTGAATACCATCAAGAAATGAGATGCTCTGTTATGCGAAAACACCTCCAAACAGTACTCAAAATCATCAACACTGTGATATTTGGTCAACTGTGAGCAAAGAATATACACTTCTCGAACTAATAACAAGCTTAACTTTCAGATCATTCAAAATGATTTCATTTACGTCTTCTGGGCTAATCCCTGAAGAGTTTGTATCTTTGGTGTCTATACAGCAACGTTTGAAGACATATGAGCACGTAAGACCCTGCTGAATCTCCCGATCAATTGAAAATAAGCCCTACTCAACTATTTACGATTTCGTATTTACTCTGTAGCTCTAATTTGACTTGTGTAAGCACACAAATCGGATATTCTGTGGTGCATTATTGGACGTGCATATTGATTAATGAAATCTGTATGTTTGACTAGTAGGCACTAGTACTCCCTCACGTTTCACTTTAAAAAAAAAAAAAGAACAGCATTTATGTTAGTTTTGAATATGCGATGTTTTGTAACTGTGAATACAATATATGGAGTTATATATATTTTTGTAAAGAAAAA